AGGGTTGGAGCTCAGTGGTAAAGCACTTAGCAGGTATAACGCCCTGCACCCGATTCCCAGAACTAGGAAAAAAAAAAAAAGTTGTGTGGCTCAAAGCTTCATAATTTGCCATTTTTAGCAAATTCTGGAGTCACTCCAAGATCCCCTTAACGTGTAGTCAAACCCATCCAAAGGGGTCACGGGTGGAAGCGGTGAAAGGGGGACGGACTTCAGACACTAAGGGAGAAGATCACAGAATAAGTACTGCCTCCTCAGATCCTTCATCCCTCAGGCCCTGCTGGCACAGTGCCTAAGGCCTCTGAACTTCTCAAAGGCCTAAGAAAATATCTGAGACTGCAGGATTTTTAAATGCCCAATCCTGTACTTAGCACCCCGTTCACACTCCTCGGTGGAATGCCTGTACTTTCAGCACCTTATGCACTGTTCCAAATCATAAATCACCAGCGAAAATCGAGAAAAAGTATGAGTGAAATACTGAACAAGAGTAGGGGCAAATGATTACTCAATAAAATTTTAAATTGAGACAAAGTTATAAAAACACCCGAATTCCCTGAAATGGGCCAGCCTGGACTTTTGTAGCATGCGTTTTTGTACAATGGAAAGAAAACTGATCCGGGAGTCAGTCTGCCATGAAGTCATTTACACGACTTCAGGCAGTGGCGATCTTAGCTCTTCCATTTCCTCCTCTGTAAAATTAAGGGGGTTGACTAAATGAGCCCTGGAGTGTGGCCAGTTCCATGATCACAGATTCTTACGTAGATTCTTAAAGGAAGTAGAGAAGGGAGCCACATTAGCCTCTTTCTTCACTAATGCTCCCCCGGAGACCAGATACACATAATAAAAAGCATCTCAGACTTAAAAACCATTCTCAAACTCCCACTTACGCAGCCTGTGATTAGATAGAAGCCACTCTGCCGTAATTGAGGAGGAGAGTACTAGGAAGAATTATACCAAATTTCACTAAATGTACACTCATCTGAAATGAGAGCGTCTCAGGGTTAACCAGACCACTAGTTCTGACATACTGTACCGATTACCTAATGTGAGCCCCTTCTGTACTGTTCCATTTTAGGCGAACTGGCTTCCTAGCCATGGGTCTAGAGTCCACTATAATTTATTTTCGTTGTGGTAAGTGGCAAACATGTCTAAATTAGTTAAATTACTTTAACATGTTGCTGCTTTTAAGGCTCTAAAATTTGTGATCATTCCTTCTAAGAAAACAGCAATCCGCGCCACGTGGGCTAAATCTCCATTTTCATTTCTATGTTTCCTTTTCGGTTCTTCCAAATGACTTCATTTCTGTTGTTAATGTCAAGTAGCTTAAAATTTGAATTTTACTAAATGATATTTGTGCTTCTGACCAAATATTTTATTCATTTTATGCCCCCAACTAGGCAACTCAACGGTGATCAATTAGAAACCCGTGGGTGGTGATGGCTTCGTTCCGTCCACGCAAGCGAAGCGACGCTCTTGCCTAACCATGGCTCAGGCAGTAATCACCTAACCACTTTTCCTCTTTCCTTCTCAGTCAAAGCCAGAACAAATCATGCCGCTGGTCCACATGCATATAATTCGAGTGGTTTGAAAACGTGCAAACACGTTATTAGTAACGTGTTTAAACAGCATCTTTCCCTTTGGTGTTCATAATCCTTTAAAGTTATGATATAATTACTCCTTCCGGCATCACTTGAAAATACATGCAACATAGCAAGGATTACATTTTTCAGGAAACATGACAGTTATGAATAAACAAAAATTATTTCCCATGCTCACACAACATTTTAACTTATTTTTAGGGTTTATGTATCCTTTACCTCTTTTGAAAGGAATATGAAGCAACTTACAAACTAGCATATATGGCATAACTTTAACAAAATAGGAACAAAGCCAGGACGAAAGGAAGGAACAGGACAAGAAGTCTTAAAGGAGAATGTGACAAATTTGATTACACAGAAATCTAGAAGTTCTGGGTTCAAAGGTCAAGCAACAGATCAACAGATGGCTAACAACCATAACAGTATAAAATTGTCCCAAAATTAGTAAGAGACCACTCACAAGTGTGTTTTATACAAAGAAGAAAATGATTAGCCAAGAATAAAAAGTAAAAATATAAAAATCTTGTGCTTCTCTTTGACCAAATACTTTATTCATTTTATGCCCCCAACTAGGCAACTCAAATTCAGGATTCTCCTGCCTCAGCCTCCCACATGATGGGAATGCAGGCTGAAAAAATGTCAGACTCTACACTAGGAGTTTCAAATTAAAATAAGTTAAAAAATTATAACATATAATTGAACATTTGATTGTTTAAACTCTTTTCTAGTACAAATAATTCTGCAATGAACATTCTAATACATATAGTTTTTAGCAAATGCTCAAATACTTTTGTTAGATTTCTAGAAGCAAATTGAGGTAAACTGTATATGAATCTTACTGAGAAGTACTGCCGATTAGCTCTCCTAAAATACTGTACCACATCACACTTACATCTGCAGAATATGAGTGTGTCCACTGCTGTCGTTTGAATATGGTTTGTCCCCTCTGAAAATTCACGTTGAAACTGAATCTCTGTTGTGAGACTTAACCTGACTAAAATGTTTAGAGGCGGGACCTTGAGAAGTGACTAGTGGTAGACTAGGTCATCAGGGTGGGACCCTCATGATTGAATCTTAGTGGCTTTCTAAGGAGGAGACCAGACACACGAACACATATTGTGTGGACACCCTGTCTCTTACGCACACTTCAGGTCTCTGCCAGCAAGATCATACCACATGCGGCCTCTGATCCTTAGGCCAGCACTGCAAGCCAGACAAATCTTTCCTCACACGTGGTACTGTATTGTGTTATTAGCACCAGAAAACAGACTAAGATACTCATTTCCCTCTAAACATGTAATTATCATACAACCCGTGGGCATTTATCCCACAAAAAAATAAAAACTTATGTTCACACAAAAACTATATAGAAATGTTCACAGCACTTTCTTTTTATAACAGACAAAAATTGAAAGCAATCCAGTTGTTCTTGAGGGATTGAATGGCTGAACAAACTATGGTAATGCATATCATAGAACACCACTTAGCAATAAAAAGAGTCGATACAACTTGCATGAATCCCCATAGAGCTATGCTGAGTGAGAAAGCCAGTTCCACTGGGCATGGTGGTGCATGCCTGCATTCCCAGCATGTGGGAGGCTGAGGCAGGAGAATCCCGAATTTGAGGCCAGGCTACGCTACAAAGTGAAGCTCTGTCTCAAAAGAAAGAAAGAAAATGAAAAGAGAAAAGGCCAAAAGAAAAGTTGACAAACTATATAATTCCATTTATAGCACATTTCTGAAATGGCCAAAATATACAAATGGAAGACAGATGGTATCAAGGATAAGGGAAGAAGGGGCTGGGGGGTTAGCTCAGTGGTTCCACCACCTGCCTCGCAAGTGCAAGGTCCCGAGTTCGATCCTCAGTACCAAAAAAAAAACAAAAAACAAAAAACAAGGATAAGGGAAGAAGGAAGCAGGTATGGCTATAAGAAGGCAACAGGAAGGATCCTCACAGTGATAGAATTGCTCATCTTGACCATGGTGGTGGTACATGAACCTACACATGTAAGAAAGGTTGCATGGAACCAAACACACAGATACACACCCCAAAACGAGTACAAGTCAAACCGAAGGAGTCTGCTGCAGGAGATGAACGGACTGTTATCAGTGTCGATATCTCAGTTATGATATTGTGCCATGATTTTGCAAGATAGAACTCTGAAGGGGGCCTGGAGAAAAGGTACACGGGATCTCCGTCAGTTCTCCCAACCACATGTGTTATATACCACCACCTCACAATTGAAAGTCTATGATTTTAAAAATCGCAAGGCAGATCCATTAGATGTGATGTGGACCCTAACATACTGTTAAGGACAACATGTCACAAAGTAATAGGGATGGAATATTCTATTTGTCATCAACAGTACATGTACACGTAAACATAAACAGAAGATGCTGGTTGCCTTTAGCAAAGACAAAGGGAAAAAGAAACTTGGATTTCAGCGTATATGCTTCTATTTTCCTATACTGTCTTATTTTGGTGATTTAAGTATTTTATTTTATTTTCATTTTAAGGAGAGATTCAATACGCCAACGATGAAGGATAACGGACTGCTCTAGAGTTTGGGAAAATGAGCAGTGTCTCAAGCAAGCTAAGACTAAAGAAAAACAAAACGAGGCCCAGAGAGGAAGGCGTAGAAGTGAGGTGGATCTCCAGGGGCACAGGCATGAGAAGGGCATCCTGGGTAGAGTTTTAAGGAAGAAATAAAGAAGGTGGAAGGCGGGAAGCCGGTGAGGTATGTTTTGAGGTTCACCAGTGGTGACAGGAATAACATATTGTTTTAGTTTTCCATTTAGGGTGTGGGCAGGGGGTCTCATTGTGTCCTTGGACCATAAGAGGGCTCAGGGAACCAGCATGGGGATTCTGCCATTTCTAGGCCTGCTGCCTCACAATGTACAACTCTACATTCTGAGACGGGTGATCACATGGATCTGAGATCTCACAAAACCCCCATTAGATGAAGTCAAGACTCTCATAATCTTTACAGCCCCTGCTCTGAAAGTGAATCCAGATGGAACTTCTGGTCTGTGGAGATTATAATAATCTCAGTATCTGACAACCCTCAAAAAAGCCGACCGTCTCTTTCCCCAGCACCCAGTCATTCTGATAAACGGTCACTTTTCCCTCCAGCCTTGGGGAAGGTGAGAGGTCCTCTCTCAAAGAGTTCTGGCAACTGGATAAGAGGCTATGTGTTGGCATTATGAAGATGCAAGTTTGATACACGGTGAGCGTGCCAGGATTTCTCTCCCCGTATACGAAAGAAGTAATTTAGCAAGCTGTCCCATTCAGTTTATCTCTAGGAATCTGGTGTTCAGTTAGCCACTGCCACAGAGCCATGCACGTAAAACACTGATTCTCTCACTGCCTCAGGGTCTTAGTAAGGAAATTGCATTTACCTTCTCTCTGCTGCTCCCATTAAAACTAGGGAAACCAGTTGCCCCGCAGCACCTTCACCTCCATCTCCAGCCTCCAGAGCAGTCACTTCAGAGCACTTCAAGGAACAGTTGCCCTCTCACCGATGCACTTCTCCTGCCCCGGTGAAATGCTCTTCCAGCCCTGCAGAGCAGATGGTTAGGCGATGGTTAGACAGGCGACCAGTCATGGCTCCTTCCAGCCTTTCCATCTCTCTGAGCCTCCACGCTCCCTCCTCTCTTGTAACCTTGCTTCTCAAAGTGCGAGTTCAGAGTTCACGACTAGCAGTATCTTGGTGTCACCTGGGAGCACTAGAATCTCTCACTCCAGCTGTGAGCTGCCAAATCAGACTCTGCGACTGAATAAGATCCCCAGGTGATTTTAAGCACATTAATGTTTGCTTCACAGCTGTGGTTCCCAGCGCAGAGTCCTGGGCCTCGCGGGGGGGGGGGGG